TCTCTTTCTAGTCCCTGTCAGTACTCTTGCTGCAGCATTTTGGATTAGCTGAAGGCTTTTCAGTGAGTTTTTTGGACATCCTGATAATAATGAATGTCAGTTAAATATGATGTGAAATTTTTTCATTATACAGATGTGATCATAACATTTTTTCCATAGGACTTCTGTTATTTAAATTCACTACATGGCACAATGTGAGAAGATAAAAAAAAAACAACTTTTGTAATCACGGGCACACAGACAAATGCTGGAAGGCAGAAATGTAAGAATATGAAGGACAAGTTGTTTAAAGACTCCTCCTCTCTCCGTGGTTCGTATATCTCAGTTGTGGTTATGATTTAGTGATACTTAAAGGTAAAAACACTTTTGAAAAGGACACACTTTCCCCAGTTATAGCTCCTCTTGGAGTCTTCTCTCTTTGCTGCCCTCGTGATGCATTTTAGGAGCTGATGTGTCCTTCAACACAGAGCACAGACTGGCAGGAGGACAGAGACCTGCTGAACTCATGCACACAAATAAACACAGAGTGTTCATGGATAATGTTTGGGAGCTGGGTGTAGTCAGAAGAAGTAAAGAATAATCTGTTTCTATCTGTTTTGTCGCTGAATTTATAGCAGGGTCAGGAGGTGATGCCAATTTAAAAAAAATCACAACATTCAGATTATTGTTATATGTATGGTGGGTAATGAAGAGCCAATCAAGCACACAACATCTCTGTTTGTTTCCTGTGTCAAGAATTTGGAGGCTGTGGATGCAGAGTAAGGAGTATTATCATTTTTAGCTGATGAAAATAAAATATTTATAACAAATCAATAAATCACAGCTATTTTTCATCATTTATTCCCCATGAGGATCTCTAGACAGGTGGTAGTTCCATGTTCTCCCCATACTTGCCCATCTTAACTCAGGATGCAAAATAAAAAAATATCTTTCACGCTCAATCATCCAGGTAAGGAAATCCCAAAACGCTGACTCTGTTCATGTGGAGGTGAAGTTTTCAGTGAGAGAAAAATAAAAAAAACTGGGACATTTTAAAGGTTCGTACCTGTAAAGAATCTTGTGTGTGTTTTTCTTATTTTATGATAATGTATAAAGTGACTTTTAGTAAGGTAACTCTCGATTTTCAATGAGACTACCTGTTTAAATAAAAGATCTAAAGCTAATAATAAAGATTTTGCAAATTTTCATGCCCACTGATTCTTCGTTAAGTCTTCCTCTGTTGTATCTGAAGCCTCTTTAAAGTCTTCAGTCAATGTTTAATCCATAACTTATGACTTGTAAATACTTTTCGTGATCCTGTGCAGGTGAGGGAAGCCCTTCGTTGTGTCACAGCTTTGATAAACACTTCGACCCCCTCTCGGTCTTCATGTGCAACCGACAAATGAAGGGAAATATTTGCGGTCATGTTTGATGGCCACAGAAGATAAAACAGCGGCTGTGTGCAGAGAGCATGGTGGTCCAGCTTCTCTTGTTCCTTCACCTCGGCTGTGTGTGCCGGCTATCCTTTCAGATTCACTGGCAGGTAAACACACACTGTCAGCGCACAAACAGTGAACCCTGCAGCTGAAAAGGAAGGAGGAGATCCCGGGCAGTCTCCACTCTGCCGGGAACTAAACACCTTCACACAAAGGGAAAGGTTCATATTTCACGGTTATATAAAGACATTAAAGATCAGCCTCTCTGGAACCAGCACATTTTGTGTTTTATCACTCCTACAGCTTTTTGAGCTTCATAAACTACATTTGAGACATGCATTATTCTTAAAATGAAAGAAAAATGTGTATTTCCACTCTGCGTATAGGTGGGCCAAGATTTTGTGAGAACCTCAAGCTTCATGATTCTGGATTCATAGAGGCCTGATCTGGTCCCTCGGCCTTGAATTGTAAACATGAGGATTATGATATTAACTGGCATCATTTTGGTATTTAAAACCACTGTATGTAAATCTAAATTCTTGAGGATTCTTAGTTGAAATTATACATACTAAACAAACTACCACATCCTTTATATCATAAAGACAGAAAAATGTATTTTGGTCAGACCACCTTCACAAGAAAAGCTTCCATCCAGTGCTTATACAATACAGTGACCCCTGGTTTTCCTCTGCATGTACCAGAGATGGCCTCATGCTTTACTGCCCTGCACCCGAGTTCCCTGCTCTCATTTTTTGCCCCTTTGGATTTGTTATATGCATCTGTAATGTAACTCCTATATCTTAATACTTCAACAATGTTAATACTCTGTGCTTAGATGCTGCTAACTTTATGCTAGCTTATCACTCTGTTGAAAGAGACGTTTTAAATGTTTTAAATGAAATTTGAAATGTTTACAAAAAAATAAAAATACAGAACGTAACACAAACCAATTTTATGGCAAAATGTAACCAAACAAAAGTTGAAGATGAGACTGAAAAAGAAAACACACCTTAGGTGTAAAACAGAAAAAAGGTGTAATAGTGATCATTTTGATGCATGAAATGAGTTACAGAAGGTAAGAAAAATCTTTAAAGCTATCTGTGAATCTGTGGATCTGATTCTGTCCATTTCGTTGCTAGTGGACTGTGCGGCAGATTTGGTCTTTTCACTTTTAATTATTTTTTGAGAGTCAAAAGTAAACCTGAATCTGCTGTGAGCCTCCTACAGGGGCCAGCTGAGCATACGTACCAACCCCCCTCGGGGTGTTTATTACCCGGCCCTGGGATGCAGGCGGCTGATTGGACAGCGGCTGCGCAGCAGCGAGCAGCAGGTGTCGCAGACGCTCAGTGCGCACAAACCGTCCGCCGGCCACAGTGCGCGCACAGGTGAGAGGCAGCAGCTCCGGTGATAAACAGACAGGCGGGATCCAGCGGCCCGGTACCGGCTGCCAGCTGAGGACAGGTGGGGTTCACGTGGTTGTTTTCCAGCCTTGCGTGGAGCTGTTTGGATGAATCTGGAGCTGGAGCGTGCACGATGCTGAGCGCCGTTAAAATGGAGGGACACGAGCATCCGGACTGGAGCAGCAGCTACTACTACGCAGAGCCCGAGGTCCGTGAATTTCACCCGTGGGTGTTATCAGTCAGTGGGGACGTTGGCTTATTGGTTAAATATCGATCAGAGGCAGAGGTTTCGCTGCAGAGGAGGCAGATAAAACCCGATCACGGCCGGAAAATCTCAGTGATGGAAAAACGATAACTGAGGGTCACTTACAGGATCTGAGCTGGAATCTGAGAGGCTCAGCTGTACCGAGCCTACACAATTTACCCCAGACGTTTACGCACAGTTTGAATGTTTCATATAAAAGTATAACCAGTTATTAGTATTACTGAGTGTAGGCTAAAGTTTAGTTTAATAAAATTAGAGATTAAAGATTTTTTAAAGTCGTTTTCGAGCATGTTAAGTTTGTCAAAGGAGCCACTCTTCGGCTGGATTTCAAGTAAAAACAAGGAGCCATGTTTTTCATTTTAAGTAAACTAAGTAAATATTTGCAGTAGAATTTGTTAAACTGGGATCTAGTTTGTTCTTAGAAATCCAGGTAGTTAAAGCGAAAATCGGAAGGCTGTTTGACCTTCAGTACTCGGCTGTGTCAAATAATCTAAACTGTAACTAACACTTAAAAACGATACCTGCTTTAGATTCGATCATAACTGCAAAACAAACACCGAGCAATAGAAAAATGGCTGCAGCTGCCAGCGAGGACGAGGACACACACGGGCAAAATGTACGTTTTTACGCGATTAAACGTCACCTTTATTTTTCTGCAGGATTTACGAAATTTCACACAAGCTTTTCATTCTTGAGGGACAGATTTTAACAAGCGCTTTGACTTCCTGTTAAAACTCTGTGTAACTGATTTTAATTCACAAAGAATTTGGGTTAATAAAACAAAAGCGTTAAAATCAGTTAACAAGAGAATAAAATAAGAAAAATAAATGTGGAATATTTATCTAAAAATGTATTTTTTTAAAAACAAAAAGAAAAAAAAGATTTTATTCTAGTTAGAAAAATAATTTCCTTGGACGTTTTTGCTGAATAAAATGTTTATACATCTAAAGTGAAAAACCTTCTTTTTAAAAATTGTAGTTCTCGTGATAATTTTGTTCTATTCAAATAAAACTGTCCCCTCTAAAAGTTGCATTAGTGATTTATTGAACATCACCAGTAGTCCCCACACCCTGCGCGTGAGCTCGGGTCTATTTAAAAAAAAATACAATAAATAAAGTATAAACACGTCACAGACAGGTAAAGTGGAAGGTTTGGACTTCACCTTCAACAAGAAAACCACAGAGTGAAAGCAGCCTTTACAAGGATGTGCGTGCTTATAGATTTAAAGACATGGACGGACTCGGATTATAGCAAATACAGCTCAATTAATATCTTTAATAACAGGAGTTATGGATGAATTAGACAGAGGAATACAGGTGTATTAGAAACCCTAAAAACATGGATACTGTTAAACTGGGTGATTGGAAAATCAAACAGAAAGTTAGTCTTAGTCTTTATTATAATAATCAGAATCTCGTGGTGAGCAGTTTTCACTGTTTTAAATAACTTCCGATCAGTTATTTGAAACTAATCAAAAGCTTTGGTGTATTTTTATCTCTGCGCCTGTGACGCTTTATTGGAGTTTTTATGTGTATTTTTCAAGTTTCCAGCCTCCTTTTTTCACTCATTTCACTATTTTTAGACTTTACGATCAGTGACAGAACACTGATCGTAGCACGGATCAAGAACGAATTATTCCGCTCTTTTTTGGCCTGTTTTGGTCTTTTCTGACTCTGATCTTTGTGTCAGGCTGAAATAAATCCGCTGGGTTTATTATTGTGTATTTATGCGACATTATCAGGCTATTAACTTTAAATTAAATTAAATTATTTAGGGATTAAACTCAGTGTGTGTGTGTGTGTGTGTGTGTGTGTGTGTGTGTGTGTGTGTGTGTGTGTGTGTGTGTGTCCTCGTGCATTAATTAATGTTAATTGGCTTTCTCTGTGTCGCAGTGTTACCCCCCAGCGGCCAACATGAACTCCATGAGCACCTACATGGGCACGCCTGGCATGACGGCCACCGGCCACATGAACGCGCATTACGTGAGCCACCCGGTCGGGGTGAGCGGCTCTTCGGTGGCCTCCGGAATGACGCAGAGCGCCGGGGCCGCCGCGCTGCCGCCCAGTATGAGCCCCATGAGCCCGCCGCCGTACGGGAACGTGCCGGTGATGAGCCAGGTGTACGGGCAGGCCTGCGCCATCAGACCACGGGAGTCCAAGGCCTACCGGCGCAGCTACACGCACGCCAAGCCGCCGTACTCGTACATCTCTCTGATCACCATGGCGATCCAGCAGTCCGGCAGCAAGATGCTGACGCTCAACGAGATCTACCAGTGGATCATGGACCTGTTCCCGTTCTACCGTCAGAACCAGCAGCGCTGGCAGAACTCCATCCGCCACTCGCTCTCCTTCAACGACTGCTTCATCAAGGTGCCGCGCGCGCCTGACAAGCCGGGGAAGGGCTCGTTCTGGACGCTGCACCCGGATTCCGGGAACATGTTCGAGAACGGCTGCTACCTGCGGCGGCAGAAGCGCTTTAAGTGCGGGAAGAAGTTGGACAGCGAGCCGGGCTGTGAGGCCGGAGCGCCAGGCAGAGGCTCGGACTCCCCGCCCTCCTCCTCCTCCTCCTCATCGTCACCTCAGTCATCTGACGGAAAGGGCGCCGACCTCAAACCCCACCGAGGAGAACCGCCAGCCTCAAGCCCCGTGCGCGTGCCCTCCCCGCTCACACACACGCAGCACCTGCTCTCGCACCACCCGCACCCGCTGCTGCTGCACGAGGCCGCGCACCTGAAAACGGACCCCTACCACACCCACTACTCCTTCAACCACCCATTCTCCATCAACAACCTCATGTCGGAGCCGCAGCACCACAAGCTGGAGCCGGTGGTGCAGTACGGAGGTTACGGCTGCCCGGTGTCCGGGGCTCTGATGGCGGCCAAACCCGGCCTGGAGCCCGTGCACAGCGACAGCGGGTACTATCACGGCGTGTACGGCAGGCCCATAATGAACTCCTCCTGAGGCCCCGCCGGACTCCCCACTGCAAAAACTCTGATCTGTACATTTGTAAATGTGATAAAGGGCAATTCCCCTGTTTTTCATCCATCTGATAAAAAGCTTCATATGAAATCTTTGTTGTGTCGTTTTTATTCAGCTGAAAATTCACAAAGGTTAAACCGGACAGGACAACGGGACCCACTCAAGCAGCCAAAAAAATTACTTATAAGGTTTGTTTTCCCTTAAATTTGACTTCTTTGTGTGTATACCTATATCTAAGCACAACAGAATAACACAATTAACAGAGAGGAAGGAGACCAGAGGTGTGCCAGGACTCTATTAAACAGAATTTTTAAAAACCTTCCATGTAACATCAGATACTTTCAAGCTATTCTGAGGATGACTTTAGGAAAACCTCTCCATATGAATCCATCTTTCTCACTTTGAGGACTCTTTAAGGAACATTTATGTGGAGAAGATTAGGAGCTCACAACATCCTGGAAGATCCTTTGTAAATGCTAGTGGAGGCCTGCACACATGCATTTATATTTTCCTGCAATGAGGTTGTATATTTTTCCACAATTCTCCATTTATGACTTACAATTGCATAATTCTTCATCATTAGTCCAAAATATTATTTAAAAATCTCAGTATTTACATAAAATTGAGAATAAATGAATGTTCTACAGGTTATGGAAGACAAAGCAGGATCTCAGTGTTCCTGCTTTGGCAGACAAAGTCGTTTTGAAAGGTAAAAAAAGATTCTCGAGATTCTTGTTTCACATGAGTGTCTTCCTGAAGATGTTGGCTCTGGCTCATCAAACATTTGTGCTCAGAAGTCTGTAACAGATGATCCCAGCATAGCAACAAATATAACATACACAAATGTACTCCTCAGGGGTGTGTAACATCTTAGGTTTTCTCTAAAGTGTGCTGCTGTTTCAGGAGTGGTGATGCCAGCATGGCTACACAGGTGTGAAAATTAAAAGTAAAGATTCACAGTGGAGCTTCTTTTAATTCCAAAAAGTATGAGTGGGAATGATTTGTCCTTTTGTAGCTCCAGAGTTAAAGAAGAGAAAGATTTCAGGTTGTTTTGCTTTTTGGTAAAATACAATTATTATGTATTTACAGATATAAAACTGGAGTGTGACCAAAATGATTTTAATAATTGTTTTCGGTTAGATTATTGGACCTCAAGGTGATTATGTGCACCTTTTTGAGGACTAAAATGATGCACACACTTTCCCAAGCAGTAAAATATGCATATTTGTACATTTTTTCTTAATTTTTAAGGTGGAATGTCAGGATGTAGCCCGTGTTTGTCCAAATACAAAACCAAATTAGGTGAAATATCAATTCTACACCGTCAAATCTTCCTCGGGTCTTTGTTCTCCCTTTCTTCTTCTTCTCTGGGTTCTTCGGCTTCTTACTACAATACAAACACATGCGTCTGAGGTTATGTTTGGTTTCTCTAAGGAAGCTTCAGGTTCAAATGTGAGGCATATGAAGCATTAAGGAGTCAATAATACTAGAAAAAAATCTGCACAAATGCCAGCCCATCTCCAAATAACCTATATAATTAAACACGCTTTACAGACAAGCACAAGCAGAATATTAAACTCAAACAGAAAACTACACATTAGCCTAAAAATGAAACAGAATAAGATAAAATGTTTAATTTAATGTAAAAAAGTACAGTAGATTTAAACACTAATGCATAAATAATTTTTAAAAAGTTAAAGTGATCAAAGTAAGTCTATTAAAGTCTGCTTTTAGAAGTAAATCAATAAATACTTTTGAGGTGTTTATTAAATGAATGCAACTTTTTTATGTCAGTTTTTGTATATCAAGACACTAAATTATAAAGGATACAAATATCTTCTGCCTAACAGGAATACGACAGAGGGGGAGCTGAGCTGCAGTATCCTTAAAGGTGCAAAACGTGTTACTGAGATAAAGACTGTGAGTAAACTCTGAGGCAGCATTTAGCACTAAATGGCTTGATTGACACCCGCAGGGTCACAGATAACATAAAAGCAGATAACAACTGGAACAATAGCTCATGAAAAGGTGACAAGCTCTCCTCTTAAAGCACATTAATGTCACACAGAAGTGATGTTGAACTGCAGATAACAGGCTGCACGGGTCACATGGTCACAGTCAAGAAAACAGTTATTCAGCACAAAGACATTCTGGCTCAAATAAGCCGAATGCTTTAAAAAAAATTGAACGCACATGTTTATACATGAAATTTAAAAAACTACAACAGGTTAAGGACTGATGTGAAAACATATGGCAGAGTAGGAGTGACGACATTCAGTGAGGGTTTTTCATTTTCTGTATTCTGGTGAATTTTTATGCATCACTTTGCACATTTTCAGCTTGTTTGTATGGTGTGCGTAGGGGGAAGGCTCCTCTACTGTCTTTAAATAATCTTGTTTCCTATTGTTCCTGCTGAGCCAACACACATATTCACGCTTCACTCTGCGTCCTCTGTCATGTTTGCTTCGCTCCTGATGTGAGAGGCAGAGTGTAAAGAGCCAGTTCAGCTCTGTTTAATATCAGGATGATGTTTTGTCTTTTGTTTGGGTAATAATCTGTTTTAATGTGCACATCACACCCGCTCAAATGGTGAAGTCATTTGTTTTCATGTATAAACTCCTGGAATTTAACCCTGTGATGTCTCAATTATCCTAATCCTAAATTACACATCAGAGTGTTTAATGTTTAAAATTATTCCACAAGGTGTTGGCAATCAATGAAAAAAAGATCCAACTGACTCTAATAAAAAAAAAACTATACAATAACCCCGAGGTTTAGGATTAGGGTTTGGAGGTGTAATGCAAATTGAGGCAGACTGACAACAAAAAGGTCAGGTGACTTCTTCCTAAAATTAGTAAGCAAACTAACAAGATTAGAAAAATAAATCATTTTTACTTACTTAAAAAAATGTTCTAATAAACCTTTAGATGTTTTTTGGGAAAAACCCTGTGTAAGGAAAAGACCTTCACATATTGGAGACGTTGTTGTTGTTATTGTTTACTGTTGTTGTGCTTATAAAAACTCAGCTTCTTCTTTTTTTTAATTTTCTAGGTGTTCCCTGCATCTCCACTGAGATCTAAATCTTCTGTTTGACATTTTCTTTTCGTTTTTAATTGTTTATCTTCTGTACATAGCACAAACAACATAATAAAATCCATTAAAAATGAATATTATTGCGGTATCATTGGTCACATATATTGTACAGACTCACTGGAAACCAGGCTGCAGCTGTTTTGGTAATTAATAAATCACCCGAGTTTATGAAATTTAAAGCTGCCAGGTTCCAGAACTCCAGCCAAAAAATAGAACACAAACAAGAAAACAGTGCTGATTATTTTCTTGATCAATCATTTTAATCAGTTTATTAAATGTTGTAAAAATATGGAAAATATTCCTCAATGTCTCAAGGTCTGATTTTACTGTCCAAACATTCCAAAAGCCACAAAAGGACGAGTTTGCTGACAGTAACAGAGCTTCAGTAATATTTCAGCTGATGCAGAAGGACGCTCCACAGTGTAAATGGATCATCTCCACAAACAAACAACAAAACAAACAAACAAACCCAACCCTGTAGACTGTGTACATTTTCTTCTTTAGCTATCGAGTTCCTTTTAGAAAAAAAAAAATCAATTTTCTTCCAGTCAGCACATTAATTATCCTTTTTTATTTTTTTTAATGTCAGCATTTTGTCTCTGTGTACTTTATAGTCATATCAATTTGAACTTAGCTTGCAAAGAGAAGGAGATCAGTTTTCCCTCATTAATATGAAAATATATGCAGAACGATGCTTCGCCATCTCCAAATAAAGACGCTGTGGTGTGCGGGGTGTGATGTATGCTTTATATCATTTATGAGTTACTAAGCATCAGGATGAGTCAGTTCATCAGTTTTAGTGGTCTTTTCAATTGTTTTTATAGATAGTTTGGATAAAGAGCCCATGGCGGTGTCCTCCAAGGTTTATTTTACCAGCCGAATACTTCAGAAATAAGAATGTACACAAGAGGAACTCAGTCTAATAGATTAACTAGAACTGTTGTGGCTTTCATTTTGGACGAAACCCCCAAAGCACATTTGTACCACTTGTCCTTCTGTACCAAAGCTTCCTTTTGTAGTCACCTATCTGTTTCCAGAGCTGCGTCTCTGGTGGGCATCGAGCCACTGCAGATATCCAGGGGAAACATGTGGAGTGAAGCTGTGGCTAATAAATGTAATTAATGAACAGAAATATAACAAACTCTGCTTTTTGTGTAATGAATTTATTTTATTTTATTAAAAAAAATTAATTTGGATCCTTTTCTTATTGGCAATGATTAGAAATGGACTGTGGCAAAAAAAACAACAATAAAAAAAAGAAGTCTGAAAACAGCTCCAAGTATTTTTAAAGAACTGACTGAAAGCTCTTTAAAAGCTCCGTATGAATGTGGTTCATTTACAGTTTAAAATCCTGCAGCTTCACTCTGTGCACAAAGCCATGAGTAAACAATATCTTCAAAGACTAAAGCGGGCCATTTTGCATGACTTACAGCTTCAAACAAGGTCAAGACTCCATCCGTGTGCATTGAATATTTGACACGGAAATCAGTGTGTTTGTTTAATTGTGCGCCGGTGTGACTGGTGCCTGCCTCTACCTGTTGTAAGAGTTTAGTTGTTGCGAAATCAAACAAAGCTGACCTGAGCAATATAGGTTAGTCTTTAAAAAAAATAGCTTGCCGCACCTCTGGGCCAATCATATTGACTCTGATTGTAAAACACAGGTTGTGTGCTGGAAGAGGGACACACCAGGCTGTCTCTGAAGGTGGAGGTGTCAGAAGAAAAGAGTGAAACGACACCGGCGAGGTTTTCATGAGCTGTCTGCAAAGGTTTAGGAGAAAAGCCGTCTACAGACACTGCAGGTTGCTTATTAACTTCACACGGGATTGGTGCCTGCTGATCCTGCGTGAAGTTTCATTTTTAAGACAAAGCTCTTTACATTTCTGGTGACACAGTTTCAGCTTCAGTATCTGGTCGTAAAACTTTAATATGAATCTTTAAAGCATCATCAGTGAAGCACAAAGGAGAGAAAAACAGTGTTT